TGCCGAAAAGGTAGTCGGGTACAGGTGCACTTTGCGACGAGGGGTGCAGGTACTGAAATGATCCGGTTCTTATAGACCAGACACTTACAGTACACACGCAATCAACGATAACGCTGATGAAGGATGCGACGTTAGGTACGGGTACTAACTTGATCCGGTTCTTATAGACCAGACGCTTAGTGCAGTACACACGCAAAATTTCAACACGGCAAGCCGTATGAAATGAGGTCGCAACGAAGAAATTTGACGAATGTGAAGGCGAAGAACGACGACACACGCTCAACGAGCGGCTTTTCACGTGTCGCGTAGCGAATAGAGAATGAAGAACCCCCTCCCGGACGAAAAACAACAAGTGCTACCAGATGTGACGACTGGTGAGAGCACGGCGCAGAGGAACAGCGACGAGAAACGAGTCGCGTGGCGAGGAGCGAAGCGGAGGAGGGCGGCGAGAGTCCAGCGATGGGGACTCGAAGGTAAGGCGTAGGAGGCAGTTGATGTGCCTCGAAGAAGGTAAATTGGAAAGTCAGATTACAATGGTTAGTTGTTTGTCGGCTACGAGGAAGTGCTTGTTAGCATTCCCTTGGTATCCTATGTAAGTATATGCATTTCACTATACTAGATTCTAAGTAGTCCTTGAGTCGAATCTTGAAGTAGCGTAGCGTAGTAGTGAACCGCGGTTCATTTGAACCGGGTCAGAATCTCCATAGTGAATTCAAATGAAAAATAATGACTGTCATTGAAGTTCCATGTTTGGCAATACTCGTCCAAACATGGTGATTGCCTTTCGGTCAGGCGTGTGTCTGCCTGGCCGCTCATTGGCAACTTAAGAAGACAGTTGGCAGTCAGCAAAGACAAGTAGGAAAGAAAAAGAAGAAAGTAGGACGCATTGGTACCAACGTCATGGCCATCGCTGGCTGTGACGTTGGTGCGTCGTTACACACGCCGTATTATCAGCGATTCGAGTCACTGCCAAGTTGTACTGGGATTTGTAACTCTCACTGCTTACCTGTGCGTAGGCATCCAACACAATTGCGAGCATCAAATTCAGCAGCATGAGACTTACGACGATCATGTAACCCCGGTAGTAAAACTTACAGACAAGGGCATACAGCCCCTGATTACTATTGTAGTCGAAGTTCGCGAAGAGCATATTGATGCAAGTTTCCGTCGCAGTTTCCAAGGACGAGAACTCCTCGACTCTGTCACCGAATAGAATGGCCCCAGACACAGCAAACGTCGCGAAGATGACGACAAAAACGATGAAGAACACACCGAACTGATGCAGTGCACTGGCCACAGTTCTCGTGAGGATACTCAGCTTTTGGATGGAAGCGGAATATCTCCAATATCCGCAGCCTGAGCAGGAAAATGGCAAGCGTGATGATGAGACGCACCGCCACGGTGAGTTGAGCCACCGCCTTGAGTTTGTCAATCACAACGGACAGCCGATCTCGAGCCTCGGCATCAGATGCCCAATTCTTCCCGCTGACAACGAGAGAAGCCAAGTTGCTCCTGAAAATCCTATGAGTAGGAGGATGGAAATCCACACAAAGCAGAAGGCAACAACCGCTACTGTAGAAGAATGCTCGATAACGACCCAGACGTCACCACAGCCAAGTTTTCCAATGCCTGAACGGCGATATCGATATAGTTTGCGGAGTTGTGTATCCAGTGCGAACAGGAAGAAGATCAAGACGACGATGTCCGCAGCGGTGGCGAGCGACTCACTGTAGGGATTGGAGAGAGCAGGTCGATGAACTCGTTTGTACTGAGCCTCCTTCCGATATAGTGAGCTGCATCTCCGTAACTGCATAACCTTGCAACTCGCCGTTGTATGCGACGATAATGATCAGCAGTTCTTCAGTAGGGAAGTCGAGCCAATCGCCTTGAACCTTGAAAGCGTTAATCTTGCCTAATGCTTCGATCGCAGGCGTGTCAAAGCTTATCAGCTTTTGCTCCGTTGTATTGTTAAACGCGTCGTAGCAGTGAGGATACAACTTCTCTAGGAATGGCTACGTAATACACGTGTGTGTCGCCTTTCGAAGTTGACGGCACCCAGCACTTTGTTGAACGTGGCTACTCGTCCCCATAAGTCCTTTGGATAGGTCTTACCGTTGTAATCTTGCGTGATGAAAACGGAGGGCACAAACGTGTATGTTAACCAGTCGAAGGCGTCAGAGATGTGTAGAATTTCATCGCCGAGTCCGTCGTGACCGTGTTAACCTCCTGATGTCCCTAACGTTGACGACAAAGCATAACCCTGTTCGTACATACTCGTCGCCGTGATGTGCGCAAACAGCATCGAGACAAAGGAGCAGAAGTAGAGCACGGAAATGGAAATGTGGCACACGGCTCTGATAATCTTACGATCGTGGCGAAGCGAGTCGTACGCGGTCTGTACCGAGACCTCAAGAGGAGAGGCATCACTAGTTTTAAACTTTTGGTGAACGTTGTCACTTGATACGTTAGGGTCCCTGAAACTAGAGATCGACTTCCTCATGCTCGACGATTAGCATAAAACTCTAACACAGCTGAGCCAGTAGTCGTTCGGGTAAGCAAAAGAGACCCCACGTGTCGGAGAGACAACGAGAAGAAAACCACATTGTATAACAAGCACCTGAAAACCGTTGACCTTTAGTAGTAAAATTAACATTCTCTCAAAACAAAATAAAGGTTTAAACTACATAACAGTGCGTCTCCTTCTCCCTCACTCGCCCTTGCTGCTCTTCGACGACTTGGTGTCAGCCCCTCCAGCCAAAAACTTCAATGCCCCAACGACTACAAATATGTCCGCCGACAGCACAGCGACCCACTTGATTCTGGTGGCAATACTCACGACGTTCTCGAGCATCTCCCACCGTTCGGGGAAGAGCCTAAGCAAGTTCAGGATGGAAACATTCTCCACCACGTCACTTGTCGCTGCCAGGACAGGCAACGTCCAGACAAGTTGGCTGTTCGGCCACAGACGACGCATAAGTCCCAATAAAGCAGTCGAGTAGATGATTGGGAAGAGAAACAGGTCGAAGATGTAAAAGTCCACATACAACGCTCTCCCCGACACGCCCAGACACTCCAAGTGCGGGAAAGTGGCGCCCGGAAGCAGCCAAAAGACGCTATCCAACACACCGCTGCACTGTGGAGGGAGCTCTCGCACCCACTGCTTCTCCATCTGCAGGATCAGCAGGAACGACGGTACCAACGCGCCAAATGCCGCCGCGAATATGTGCGTCTCCCACGTCATCGCTCACTTCAACTCAGACACATAATTCGTCCAGACAAAAAATAGTCCATCACAAATGCTTTGGTAATCCCGGTAGTCAGCTCAAGTACCGTCGTCCGTCGCACCACCAACCAGCCTGGCGACGTGCGTGAACCTCCTGTGCGCGGCTCTGTGGCGCTGCGTCATGACCTCCGATCACCACACCGCCTACGCGCAAGCGCAACCAGCCTTCGGACCTTCAGCAGCAGCTTGAGCGTGATGAGATCATCCAGCAAAATGC